CCTTAAATGACAATTGTTTGTGATAATATTATTTAAAAATAATTATTGTTGCGCACGATCAATAATAATAAATTAAATTTTATATAGTACTAGCTGCAAGTACCCGCTTCGCTGGGTTTTTATTTGTTCGTACATTTATATGTAATATATTGATAGTTTTTTTAAAAATATATAAAAGACTTTTTCTCTTCCTCTACATAATCTTTCTCTGATTCGATGTGTTTCCCTATAATTTTCAAGTTGCTCTTCTGTCTGATTATTTCTGTTTCCTTGATAATTTTTTCGTAGCAATGTTAAATGTACAGTACAGTACTTCACTTTCTTCCGTGGTTTCATTTCTCTGCGCCATCTTTTGCCTTTGAGATATGATTCGAGACCGAAAAAATTCTTTATGCTTTGGCATTGTTTTTTTTTTATTTTTACTTTTCACACTTCACTATTCACTTTTCACTTTTTACTTTTTTCTGTTATTCGTACACTTTTACTTACGAAAAATTAACTGAAGCATGTGAGTCACACGTCTCCAAAAGCTATCCCCACTACTCACACATAACGGTCCTCGACTATTCGAAAACATTTAAGATTAAGATTACATTATAGCCAATGTTACTCGTTTTCACAGAATGAAAGAATTAGGTCCCCGATTCCAGACTAATTAGAGAATTTTTACATGGGTCTAAAAATATGTTCATTTCTCGCAAAAACGCAAAAAACCGCATCTGCGCCTGTAAATCTTGCACGCCGCTTTATCTTAACACTTCCTTTGTTATTCAACACTTTCATTGTTACACATTTTCCAAGTCAACCACTTTCAGCTCCCATATCTCCCACACCCTTATAGCTATCCAGACGCAACCACCATAGTGCACGATGAGAGACTTGGGGCTACTCAGTGGCGTACCGTAGTGGGGGCGGCAGGGGCGGCCCGCCCCGGGCGGCACTTTCTAGGGGGCGGCAAAATTTCACAATAAATAATAATAATATTTTGTAAAAATTTGAAACATCTTAACCTATACTTGCATCGCGCCTACGATAGTGCTGTCGTCCGGACAGTCCGGGAATCGGCTCGCCGTCCGGGTGAACTAGTAANCTTTGCAGTAGTAACGATAAGTTGTTTCCCTAATAATATTATTTTCGAATATGAAAAAGACGAATAGATTTTACTTCAGTGAGATGTTCGATGTGAAAAAAAAAACAATTTAGTAAAAAAGAAAATTATAAAATTAATCAAACTACGACTCGAAAAGTAATGACTGATGACAACAATAAGCATTACTTGTCACACAATCTTAAATATATATTAAATTCAGTACGAATATGACTAAACCTGCACTTGGTGTTGAATGTTTCATAATTATGCTGAATAAACTAGTTTAAATAGAGAAAAGGTCTAGAAACGAGTTGCGTAACTTTTCCGGCTTTTACGAGAGAACGTTTGTATTACTAACTAGCTGCAAGTACCCGCTTCGCTGGGTTTTTATTTGTTCGTACATTTATATGTAATATATTGATAGTTTTTTTAAAAATATATAAAAGACTTTTTCTCTTCCTCTACATAATCTTTCTCTGATTCGATGTGTTTCCCTATAATTTTCAAGTTGCTCTTCTGTCTGATTATTTCTGTTTCCTTGATAATTTTCTAACAATTCCTCGTGGTTGCAGTCATAACGAGAAATTCACGAAATACATTTACTACATGGATCTGGCAAATCATTAAGTAATTTCACAATCTATTAGTAAGATTTACGAACAGTATGATTTTTCCCTCCAAATAGTTTTATTCTACAAATTATTTGATGGATGATGTCATTGGTTCACTCAAGATTTAAACTTGGGAGTGCCGAGTTGAATAGATAAAAATTTTTAATGCAAATTCAATAAAAATCCTATTTTATCTGACTTATTATTCGTAAGTAAGATAGAAATAGAACACATGACAGAATATAAATAAAAAAAAGGAATTTTAATTAGGAAAATATTTTTGAAAAACTTACTAGTGTTTCTTTTTCCTTTACTTTGGGAGTTGCCAGGGCTTCTTGGCCCGCTCCCGGGTTCATCACTGGATGTTGTCATAAGATGCCATCAAGTAAACTTGTGCAAAATATTTTTTAACAAATGACTAACATCATCATATGTCAAAGGCTAACATATTTTTTAACTATTGATGTAATAAAATATGAAACTGTTACAAATAAAAATATATTGTTCATTTAATAAATTTTTACATTTTATCTGCATATCCTTTTGGTCTTGATATGCTTTATCACTATGAACTTATGTAATTATTATGCACATATAAAAAACTTTAAACTTGTAAAAAGTTTTATTAAATTACTTTTTATCATACAATAATGCAATATAAATACAAATATGATAATTTTTATGTGGTTGATTATTACAGTACTTCAATATAATAGATTGAAAGTTTTACATAGTGAAATAACACATTAATGATGTCTCCAAAGTTCAGCGAATTTGTCACAAAAATATTAATTTATCAGGAAGCACGCGAGCGCCATTCGATGACAACTCCACGACGAAAACAAGCTTAAGCAATGGCGTCGTCGAACGGTGCACACTCGGTAAGTAATCCTACAATTTTTTGTTTATATCATAGTTTATACGGATTATTCCCAAAAAATTATATGGAAATTATTTGGAAATGTTGAGTCAAATTAGTCTAGAATCGATTAATTTTATGGAAGAAAACCCTTAAAACAGCCGTAGTCCGTAAACTGCATACGTGCGGGCTGTGATTGGCTCATGTATTTAAGGACTCGTAGAACATCAATTTCAAAAAGAACGGAACGTATCTACCGTGTTATAGGGGGGTCGACTGTACTGAATATAAATGGGGTTTGCTTGCAAAATCCGCGTGGGCAAAGTCGTGGGTAACAGCAGAGTCGGTAGATTAACTGGTCTTTCGACTAATAGTTCAAACTTAGCTAGAGACAATATTTGCCGCTAGTCGGCGCCACTGTTAGCAGGAGATCGTTGTTCTTGCTAGGTATATACTGAAGTCAGTGATTTTGACCTATAATAATTGATTTTTTAGCTACATAAAAATGCCAACGTGCTTTGTGCCAGGATGCAAGGCAGGATATAAGTCATCGAACGAGAAGAGACATTTCTTCCGTGCTCCTAGCGATAAGATTGAGGAGTGGATGCGATGCATTCCACGAGACGACAAGATGCTAACAAATAAATGTTACGTTTGTGACGTACATTTTGCGAGTAGATTTATTTTAAAAACCTTCTCTCATGTTATAAATGGAGAGAAAGTAGAAATTCCACGAGATCGCTGGGCATTAACGTCGGATGCATATCCATCAAACTTCCCTAATTGTCCTAAGTACATTAGTAGGTCTGTACCTCAAAAACGATCAACGCGATGTCTCACAAGAAATGAAGAACCATCTAGGAAGGGATCNTTTTGGGGGACACAATTTTTTGAGTTAGAATTATCGATGGCTTCTAGCGTAATCTCTGTATTTTCTCTTCTCAATTGTTGACATTCCTTGGATTGAATATTTTTCGGGATCGGATCTTTGCTCCTGCTTTGTGAATCCGTGCTTTTCTTCGCGAAATTTTTCTCTTTTTTAACTAATTTGCTATTCGCTATATCTAGAATACTGCAAAGTTCAACTCGAGATTTTTCGACTTCTTCGCCATTCGATTCGCTCAAGGAGAGGACATTCGCTTGGCAATTTTCTATGACATTTAGATTATCATCCACAGATAATTTCTTATACTCGTTGCTGTCTCCCAAATGCGTAACGTGTTTCGATATCTTTTTTTGTACTAATGAAGTCGACGGTACGTTGGTACGCTTGATCTGGTGAATTGCATACAGATCGTAAGATTGATTGGATATAGATAACTTGCTAATTAGACGCTTCTCTGGCTTATCTTCTTTATTGCAGTTTTTTATTTTCTCTGTTTTTGCTTGATTTAAGGCAGTTTTATCTGTTTTTATCTTGTTCACCTCTTTAGATGGCGCTCCAGAAGATCTTAAAAAATCTAAAGTAAATTTTTCGTCTTCGTTTTTATTAAAGTCAATCAGATTTTGATTACGAGGAAATTTGACATTCTTAGTTTTTTCGAACGAACGACTTGTATATGATTCCATGCTATATTTCGTTTCCTCATTATCGGAACCTTCTTCATTTGTGGATACTTTTGTAACCTTAATTATCTTAATAGTTTCGGTTTCAGTCGAGGAAGATGAATCGTACTGATCCTGCTCGGGTTTTGATTCCAGTGTTAGTAATGGGGTTTTTTCTTCTATGTCATTTTCTCTCGGTTTATCTTGTAATAATGAGATTGTTTTCTTCAGATTCAATTCTTCTTTCGAATTAGCACGAATATTTGATTCGAATTTTGGTTCTTCACTCGGTCCTTGTGTAGGCGAATTCGGGTCAGCGAAAAAAACAGACTTCGGAAGTTGTGGCTTTTTATCTGTTTTTTGCTTACGTATTCTTTTGCAATATAATTTAGTGCAAAAATATACCAGAGTAGTAGCGATGAGACTCACCAATGATACTATGGTGAAAATAATCACCGCTAACGAAACGACACGGCCAAATCTTTTTATTACGTTCTTGCTTTTTGGTTTAAACTTTCTGTTCTGTTTCAAACGAGTTTTATTTAATAACATTTTATTATAATAATCTTTCTGTCTAATTGGTCCGATTAACATTCTGTTTGGACGATTTAGGCCTATAACCCCCTCCTTCCCTGCAAATCTAACATCTCCGTGTAATTTTTTCATTTTGTCTGCATTTTTATACATTCTTCCTCTTTGCTCCAGCTTTTCGTTTGCATTTTGTCGTTTAAAATATGAATTTTCGTACTTTCGGTAATTTTCAATAAAAGAGAACGTTTTCTTTTTTACCGGAATTGTTCTTGAATATTTTAAAATTCTCTGTTTACTGTCATCCCGTTCTTGTATAAATTTATCGGCATCTTCGTCCATTTGCACTCGTAACTTGTTCTTAATTGATGGTCTTGTAAGCCAATTCAAATTCGAATTTTTAGTTTTTCTTTCTAAAATATGTCTAAGACCTGAGATACCGTTGTCCTTTCTGAGCTGAAGTCGCGGCGACGTGTCCTTCGAATTTTCATTATATTTAATATCCTTGTCAGTGGGAGAACTGAGAGATAACAAACTTGGTTCACTCATGGGTTTTCTTTTCGGACGTATTCTAAAACCTTGCCCCGTAAGAGCATTCATTAAAACGAATAATAAAAAGGCTGATACTGCCTTACTATAAATATTCATAATCTATATCTGGTAATTCAGAATTTAAATCAAAATTTATTACACCAAATCTTTACGAATTCTACTGAAATTATTGATTATTATTATAATTATTATTTCAATTTTTAGAAAATGTTAATTATTGTACTCTTTATTGAAATCTCAACAATAAAATTGATAACTCGATGTCTTCTATTGTATTTTCCTTCCAATATTGATATTATACAGTTATGTACTGTATAATACTGTTTATTTATTTAATAACTATAAAAATATACAATTTGTGTATATACAGTAATAGAATGCTGTAACCATGCTTCCACACGTCTCTGGATAGTGGATAAAGATGTTGCAGCTGTTCATGGTTGTCATTACTCCGGTGATCTAACTGTGACATCCAGCGCTTGTCCACTGTGTTGTATGTGTAAGTACTGTACACCGATTTGAGGGGGGAGAATCAGTGGCGTACCGTAGTGGGGGCGGCAGGGGCGGCCCGCCCCGGGCGGCACTTTTTAGGGGGCGGCAAAATTTCACAATAAATAATAATAATATCTTGTAAAAATTTGAAACATCTTAACCTATACTTGCATCGCGCCTACGATAGTGCTGTCGTCCGGACAGTCCGGGAATCGGCTCGCCGTCCGGGTGAACTAGTAATTTTTTCATCCGAGGAAATCTTGCGAAACCTGTTGACCTTTTTCTTTGCTTGTACGATTCATTCGCGTTTATATACACCACTAATATCCAATAGAACTATTTTGAACAAGTCGCTGCACTACCACCGAATTTTTCATTGCTTGTTCTGTGACAAAACTGAATTTTGGTCTTTTAAATTGAAATACCTAAATAAGGGGGGCCGAAATTTTCCTCCGCCCCGGGCGGCTGACACCCACGGTACGCCACTGC